AGTTATCGAAGATATTTCTCGTAATATTTGCTTCACTAACATAGTTGGTAGTAATACTTGAAGAAAACATGCATAAAGCGAATTCGCTATAATGGTTATACGAATTCGTTATACGGATATAACGAATTACGGATATAGCAAATTAAATTCACAGGTTCCCAGGACTTCGCTGTAACCGAGTTTTACTGTAATAGTGAACCGTGCGTGCATAAATTCTGCGCAAGTCGCTATTTTTTGGAATATCACCCGTCGTCAAGCAATGTTGACTTTTGCTATGCAAGAGGGTGTGGCTTCATTATTCAGCGGATAATAGTGTTTTTTAAGAAATGTCTCTCGACGAATCAGATTCAAGTAATTTACATGAAAGTATAATATAAAACTATAATAATGTTGGCACTTTGTGACTGTTATTTTACTTTTGGAATGACCATAGATCAAAAAAATGAAGGTATTGTTTTATTTTTCCTGTGTTTTATTTTGAGAATGTGACTTGACTCTACAGGTAGACTGTCTGGAGGTATATCTTCCCTGACATGTGACTGTAGAGCATCTGTGTGTCAAATTGGTTCAGTGTCTGGAAGGACTAGTAAGACGTTTACATTTTAATATTATTATTATTTATTGCAAAATACCAAGTTTTTATGCTGTGACATTTTGAAAAAGATACAGTTGGATGGAAATGAATTGTTTACAAGGCTTCAAGTTTTTCAATCCCCTATTAAATTCAGTATTTCTCCTGGATTGAGGTATATTGTTATCTTTAAAGAAAATTATTTTGATTTTTACAATACAATTTTTTCACTTTTCAACATAAGTGCATTATCACCGTCAAGTTGTCGGTTTTTTCTCGTCATTTTTCACTCGCGTAGTTTTCAAGAGAAATAAAGAAGACTGGTCAAGAAGCAAACTTCATCGATCAGAAACTGCAAGTATTCTGCTACTTTATTCATTTAGTTGTTATATATCCCATTCATTTGCACGAAGTGATGTACATTTTTAATGAATATTTAAAAAATGTACAAATTCTCAAATCCATGTCAAGTATTTATTGCTTTTTAGCACCAAGAAAAAACAGTTCTTTTACATATGTACATATATATTCTATATAAAATATCGTTATCATTAAGCCATGGAGCTTTTCACTGTCGATAAGGACACGGTGAGTAGTTCATGTTACAATGGATACAGCATGACACTACTTATCACTATACTCAGTAGCATGCACGGAAGCAGTAAAACTGAAGGGAAGATAATTTTCATTTCCTTATGTTTTATATTTCTATAAAATCGTAAAACTAATGGTAATACTCAGTACTTTCAACCTTCTGGATTGTTCTAAGTGTCCACTTCATGATTTTTATTCGGAGAGTGAGATATCAGGAAGAGAATAGTAAAAAAAAATCCTTCAGACAAACGCAGAAAGGTTAAAAGATAGGATATCAATTATAAGGCTTTCAATGTATCATTTCACCGATTTCATTTACACAATAATTAGTAATTAAACCTTGTTTGTACCACGACAAAATACTTCTCATCATATAAGTATTTTACGATTTAAATACTGAAATGGAATCACATTCATATTCTTTATTGAAAGAACAAAAATCCAAGAATACTTGCAATTTTGATCACTTGGAGGCAGTTTGGGAAGTGTATACTTAAACTGAAGATACTCAAATACAAACATTGATCATATATATCTAAATAGAAGGATATGGAGATAACGAACAGCATCCAATATCAAAGTAAATAAAATAATACAAAATAGGAGCAGAGCAAACACAGACCTCCAAAACATGGGAGGTGGGATCACGTGCCATGGAGGAGTGAGCATCTTCTGCTGGCCAGTCACGACGGCTGTGTGCTCCTTGTCATGAACGAGAAATAACAGAAAAACCCGTCGTCAATTTAAGTATAAATGATGGAATAACTATAAGTATGAAAAAAGTCAGTCAGCATTTGACTCAATGGTAAATTGTATTTGCTGACAAGGTCATTGTGTCGGCCAAAGAAATGATGACTTTAAACAAGACTGCTGATATTTAAGTTTCAACTTGTTTGTCAATAATTTACCTCGTTTTAGAAATTGCTCATACCTAGAGCATGCTTTTATGTATCGAATCAACTTAGATATATAAACTCCGTATTCAGGCGATGAAGCTATATTGCTGCATAAACAAGAGAAATTGACGATAGTTAAGTTGAAGTCATCACGTTTATCAAAGAGCTTGGTTGTTACCATAAACGTCTTTTTCAAGTAAAATATCAAAGCAATGAAACATATGCGTCAGACTCTTATGGTATCTTTTATCTCAAGCTCACCGGGATAAATCGTATTGACATAAGAATGGAAATAACCATTCTTTATTACCATTACGTCCTTGATATATCTAAATGTCGATCGCGAGTTGAAGGCCACAACAAGTATTTTCTTCTTTTCACGTATAAGATTTTGGACAAATTCTGCTTCATATGAAGGTATAAACAGCCTCAAATTTCAATGACCACATTACTAGTATTATGGACAAAAAATAACCAACTTCCACAATTTAAAAAAAAATTAACAATAATATGAGTGCAATAAAAATTCCTTTTATTGATAACAAACAATGATATAAATAACACACAGATAAACTACATTACACATTGACATTCGATGATTATTTTTACATTGAATAAAGAAAAAAGAAAAGCTATAATCAATTTGAGACAATAGTTAAATTATATAACAATAATGATGATAATTATAGATAGGAGAAGCTATGACAAATGTGATAAATACATGTATAATGGAATTATATTTTCTTTTTATAAAATATTCATCGAAAATTTTTGAGTGCAATATAAGTTCATTTCTCATTCAAAGTTTCACAATTGCTGTAGTTTAAGTGACAAAAAGATACACAAATTTATTAGGATATTTGCAGATAGTTGAAATTAGAGACTATTTTTAATATCTTGATTTTAATATTTTAGAAATTTACTGTTCAGATTATTTACAACCAAATAGGTAAAAATAATATATATACCAATCCGTGCATTCTTTTTGTTTGTATCATATGTCATTTAGTAAACAATACAAGTCGAATGTTGCAGCCGTTCTCAGCAATGGATGGCGTCCCGCTAGTACTGCTATCAAACAACTGATTGTACGAAATGAATCCGTAGATATGACACAGATATATGATTAAAGTTAAGGGTCAGTTATAATAATTTGAGAATAAGACTTTTCCTCTATAATTATTTTTGCCTTCTTGAGAATTTGAACAGTAGTGCTTGGTTTTTAAAGTATAAAAAAATGTTTTGAGTGTTTTTGTACAAGTGTCCTATATGAGAACTCTTTGTGGAAACAACGAGGTAGATAAAAGGAAAAGTAGTGTACTAAGGATGAAGTATTCTCAATTTGTCAATACATATATTCATTTGGAAAGGTGATCACAAAAATGATTTTGAATGATAATTACCTGTTCTGGTTTGTGTGTGTTCTAAATGGCTTCAAAGGTAGGGCAATATTTTACATCCGATGAAATCTTTACCAAGAAAGTAAATATGTTATTTATTATTCAGTTCGTTCGCTGATCGTTCGCAAAAATATGTCCATTTTGCTATTCACACAATATGGTCACAGTACACTGTAGGTATGTTTAGTGGCAAATGGGTTTATTGGAGTCGTAAAAATATTTTTGATTATAAATGAAGCTAATCTCTATTCCACAATAACGTTTAAATGACGGAAAAGTAAGTAAAATCTATTGTGTGTTTCGTAAAATGGGGGCATGAACCATTCTACAAGAAAATAGAAAAATTTTGAAAAATGTTTATGTTTAAAAAAATTCCTTTATTTAAAGCAAACTTATACAAAATAAAGACAAGAAGATTTAATCGAGAGGTGGTTAACGCGTTCAGTCGTATACCTAAACGTAAACTTTAATTTACTTATAAATGTATGTATCTTCTTAACAATAAAAAACCTTGCTTATAAAAATGACATATTAAAAATTGCCGCAATAAATTTATAACTTGCACCACAGAAGAAGCGATGGGATCTGGACAAAAATGTTATATCAGTAAGAAATAGGAAAGATTTGTTAAATAATTGTTAACGCAAGTTGTGATAACAAACATACTTTTTAAAAGCCATTTATACAAAAGAATACAAAAAAAAAAACAACATATTTTGAAATTTTCATTCTAAATTTAAAATTATATTTTTCATAATAAAGCCCAATATCAATTCAACTGTATGATAAACGAGATGACCTAAACTTTTCCATCGCTAACATTTTTATGTACTAATATTCTGCTAGCACCTGTATGTGCCGTTTACGTCTCCTGACTTATTTTTAACGAAACAAGTTATTGAGAGATAAGTTAATATAACAAAAATTAAAAAAAAAGATTCTGTTAAAGGTGAGTAGTTTTAACAAAATTTTTGGAGGCTTTTGTGAACGTTCTTTTAATAGGTAGGGTCGTTTTTGGCTGCCTTTTTAACTTTACATTTAACCTTGGTTTTTATGCTGAATATGAAGAAAATGCTCCGTCTACCTGTAAAATTCATTAAGCTCACGGCAGGTGTGAACGTACAACAGGGGATGCCTTCTCCCCCTAGGCACCTGATCTTACAACTGGAGTCGATGCTCTATGCCCTTACTACACTTTTTTTAATTGTTTGTACATTTTCTCAACTCGATCATTGGGCGTTATCTTGGCACTTTTCATTTTAAGAATGTTTCAACTCCGTGAATTTTTTTTTCATTTAAAGTAGATGCAGTGTCTGTTTCCTATCATTGTGACAGAGGATGGGACAAATTTGAAGATAAATGCTACAGACTGTTTCGTGAATCCAAGAACTGGCATCAAGCTCGTGATAGCTGTAGAGCCCATGGATCAACTCTACCGATAGTGTCAAATGGAAGAATCCAATCATTCATTGTCCAAAAATGTAATAATTTCTAATGCTTTTTTCCCAGATAAACCATGTTTAGTCATAAATTCTAACTGTCATTATCATTTATTTCAATGTCTATTAAAATCTCATTCCACAAACGGAGACAAACAAATAATTGAAAGTGATTGACACTTTTTTTTGCATATTTTAAACATGGTTGTAAACGCAATAATTAGAACTTTAGAAAAAAAAACTTTTTCAATTATTACAAATGTACATTAAAAAAAAGTTTTTTTTTAAATGGCATTATTTGTTTTAAGAAATTTTTTCTCGTGATTTTGAAGACGGGCATCTATTGGGTCCACTTGGAGTGTATTTGGCGGGAACTGATGTTAAGAGAGAAGGAACGTGGGAATGGGTTGATGGGGAGGAACAGTTTTCTTTCTCTACCTGGCAAAAAGGTATTAAGGTCTACCTGTTTCAATATTGTTTACAAAAATGAATGCCGAATCTCACCTCAATGCTTTAACAGCTCATTTCATTTTATTATACCAGTATTTTGATTTGAAGCTAAACTTTACTTTTAGGAGAACCAAGCAATGATGGTGGATATGGTCATTGTTTACATATGTGGAAGACTTACCAATTTAATTGGAACGATGTAAATTGCCAGCGTTCGATTTCTAATTACTTATGCTCAAAAACAGGTATCATATCATTAAATTTCAATATCTATCATACAAAAAGTATGACTATTTTATACTAAATTCCTTTTTCATGTCACATTTGCTCAAAGAAGGCAATATATTAATATTTACAAATAAACAGACCTTAAAGATACCACAGAGTCCGACACTTCTGCTTCATATTTGGATATTTTACTTGAAAAAGACACTAATGGTAATCTAACAACCAAGCTATATGATAAACATGATGACTTTAACTTTTCTATCGTCAACTTCCCTTACTTGTGCAGCAATATACCTTCATCACCTGCATACGGAGTATATATATCTCAGTTGATTCGATACGCAAAAGCATGCTCTACGTATGAACAATTTCTTAAACGAGGTAAATTATTGACAAGCAAGTTGATGAAACAAGAATATCAGCAGTCTCGTTTAAAGTCATCATTTCGTAAGTTCTATGGTCGATACAATGACCTTGTCAGCAAATACAATTTATCATTGAGTCAAATGTTGACTGACGTTTTTCATACCAATTTTTTGTCAATTACTTATACACTGAATTGACGACGGATTTTTTCCGTTATTTCCTGATCATGACAACGAGCACACGGCGGGTGTGACCGGTCGGCAGGGGATTCTCACTCCTCCATGGCACCTGATCCCACCTCTGATGTTTCGGAGGTCCGTGTTTGCTCTGCTCTGATTTTGTATATTGTTTAATGGACTTTGAGATTGAATACTGTTCGTTATCTCCATATCCTTCAGTAATAATTGCAAAAATGTATATGTTGCCATATTTGTTTAAGATGTAAGACATGCGTGTAAATAAACGTAAACATACTTCGACATAAAAAATCATACATTTTAGCAAAGAGTATTATAAAATTATGTAACTGGTCGAAATACATAATTCTGATTCTTACAAGTTCAAACGTATTACTACTTTTTAAATATGCATGAATTATAATTATCGCGGAATCAATATTATCATAGAAGGACAGTTAAGAAAGTGAAATATATAATGGAGATATCACCTTTAGCATTATTATTTAAAGATTGAATAAATAATTTTAAAAAAGAAACTTTACAATTTTACTTAACAATATTTCTCATCAAACCTATTGAATCTGTTGTATTTCTTCGAAATTAGAATTTAAGAAAAGCTATTGTCATAATACTTGTCATAATGTTTTGTTGTCAGATTAACATTGGCTTCTTTGTCCAGTAAAAAATTAAATATCAAAACAGATGTGTTAGACCCTGCCGTATCTTAGATTGCAAGAATGATACCTTATTGATACAAGGGTCGTTCAATAAATAATGCAACATGTTATCTAAAAGAAAAAGTGCATAATACATATTCTAAATAGTTTCAATCCTTCAAGGCATTCCCTGTTACCCTTTACACATGTATTATGTCTTTGTATCCATGCACAGAAAAGCTCAGCATACTCATCCTTAGGGATGCCCCAAAGACACTGATGGATATCGTTTCCCATGATATACTTGAGATTGTACAATCTTCCTTTGATTGTTTTCATGTGTTTTGGAATAAAACGATATCATAATGTCTTAGATCTATCTAATATGACCGATGGAAAAGTTCTATTCACTTTTTTTTCAAAGTCTTATTTACTTTTCTAAGCCTATAATATGCAACTGCGTTGTTAGGCACAGGAAAAAAATTTGGACTACCCTAGCAAGAAATCTGTTTAACTTTAATTGGTGCAATTCGAACATAAAAGTGACCATTGCTAGTCCTTCCTTTGGATATATGTACACGTTCTAATGGACCTCTCGAAATACACGAAAACTAATGAAGCATGTTTGGAACACTTGCTTCTCTTTATTTTAACAAAATCACACTTTTTCTTTGATTCCACATTTATTTGATTATTAATCTTGTTTTTTGACTACAAAAAGTGCACCTATGTTATGTCATATTTCCAGCAAGTTTATCAAATCTTTTATTTAAAAAACATAATTTAAAAATAGAGCTTTGCCACATTTACCGCATGTTTTCTCTAAGGTATTTGTAAGAAAATGAGCCGCCTATCTGAGTTATAGTATTCATCTGAAAAGTATATGTAGCATTAAAGATAATTTTCTTTCTACATATAAAATCATATATTAAATATGAGTTCTTCGGCGATTTATGTAAAAAGCACAGTTTTCACATACACTGTTATTTTCATTTTCTTGGCAGAGATCATTTATAAACATTTTTCCGCTCAGTGTAGTGACCATGCTTGCTTTCAAGTGAATTTCTTTGCGAAGACAGTAGGAAAACTCATGGTGTTTTTCTGTCTTTAGGACCTCTTTAGTAGTAGTTTTCAACTGTGAAAAAAAAATTGCCTCAAGATTTATTATGATATGCTGTAAGTTGCAATACTTATTGAATGACCCTCGTATTAGACCTGGCAAACCTCTGTTTTCTCTGCCGATTTGTGTTGTTTAAATTGAGTTTTTATTTAATAGTACTGTTTGTTACCTCCACATTTTATATTAAATTTACTCTCTATAAAAAAAGGTGTAGCAATAAGTTTGTGATCTACAATCGTGAGAAACAAATCGTTGAATGGACAAGTCTGGAAAATTTGATATGTAACTGAGTTCAATATGTCTCGATATGTCATAAACATGAAAGTAATGTTTTGTTATACCCCCGCTTGAAGAGCGGGAGGGTATATAGTAATAATAATAATAATAATTATTATTATTATTATTATAAAATTTGTATAGCGCTAAATATAATTAAAAATTACTCTAAAGCGCTTAAACATTAAAAATAAAGATAAAAATTTACAATAATTAGAACATAATAATTAAGAATCTGAAATTAGACATAAAGTTATAAAAGTAATGAAAACAATTATAAAAATTATTTAAAAATTAGCCCCTAAAAATCATGAAAACAGGCACAACTATGTACATTATTAAATGGAGATACTTAAGAAATAAGGTATCATTTTTTGAGTTTTATTGAGATGTAAAACGGGTTTGTCACGTGATCAAATCCCATAGGCCCTTCGGGCTTTATGGAAGATTTGATCATGTGCCAACCCGTTTTAAATCTCAATAAAACTCAAAAAATGATACCTTATTACTTATATTTACATTTGTGAATTATTCATACTTTATTTTTGCCTGATTATTACTGTTAACGTGTGAAATGCGTTAATTTTTCAAACCCAACGGCATGTATGTAAACCACTAAACGCGCGTCGACCCTTTATGACGTCACAGAGAAATTACGTCGAACGTTTATCAAAACGCACATCTATGACCTCTTGACCCCATACTTGTATTTATACAGTTATAAAAACGCTTGCCTTCAGTAGTGTTATATAAAGGAAAACATTTGCAAATGTAAATATATGTAAATAGCCACAAATCATAAAATAGTATTAAAAAATAAAGAGAGTCCATAAAGTGTGCTTAGACAGGAACATAAAGTGTTCAATAATATTTATATGTCAATGATAAAAAGCCATTTTAAAGAGATGAGTCTTTAGACACTTTTTAAAACTATTAAGATTTTGTTCATGTCTCATAACCTGATGGGAGACTGTTCCAGAGTGCAGCGGCGCTAACATCAAAACGACGATTTCCATATGACTTGGTTCGAGCACGAGATTGAACTAAACACCTGGAATTCTCTGAACGCAATGATCTTGCAGGGAAATACAAAATTAACGAGGTCCTTTATATATGACGGTGACATCCCTTGTAGTGCTTTAAATACTGTTATTAATATTTTTTACTGGATGCGGAATTCCACTGGCAACCAATGCAAAGAAATCAGAACTGGGGTGATGTGATCTTGTTTCTTGGTCCTAGTTATTATTCTTGCCGCAGTGTTTTGAACTCTTTTTAGTCTTGATAGGGAGCTGGAGCTCAACCCGTATAGCAATGCGTTGCCATAATCCAATCTAGAAGTGACGAGTGAGCACACTAAGGTTTTGCAGGCGCTTTCTGTAATATATTTACGTTTCCGACCGATATTACGCAGCTGATAGAAGCACTGTTTAGAAATAGAACTTATCTGGTCGTCCATGCTTAATGACCAATCAAAACATACACCTAAATTTCTAACACAGGACGATACATTTATGATTTGACCATCAAAATTCAAATTGTAATTTGCGAAATCACGGGATCTGTTTTTTTTGGCGTAAAGACAATAAGTTCTATTTTGTCTTGGTTTAATTTAAGCAAGTTAGTTTTCATCCATGCGCTGATATCTGACATGCATCTTTCTAACCGTGCCGCTACGGCATTCCAGGTAGCTGTTGGTTTGATGATCATATATACCTGAGTGTCATCAGCGTAGCTATGAAAGGACATTCCATGTCTGCGACAGATCTCACCAATGGGTTTTGAAAACATGCAGTAAAGCTTAGGACCTAAGACAGACCCTTGTGGAACTCCGAACTTTAGCTGAAAATTAGATGACATGGATGAATGAACCGCGACTCATTGACACCTGTTGTTTAGGTAAGATTCCATCCAAAGCAGGGCGTCACCACAGATGCCATAGGAAAATTTAAGACGATTAAGAAGGATAGAATGATCTATCACGTCAAAAGCAGCCGACAAATCCAACATCAAAAGAACCGCACATGAGTTGGAATCTAGCGCTGATACGATATCATGATGCACCTTCAGGAGAGCTGTCTCTGTAGAATGGTGTACTCGGTATGCAGATTGGTAAGTATCCTGTAGATTGTTTGCCACAAGATGATGTTCTATTCGTGTACTAACCACTTTTTCAAGAATCTTTGAGATGAAAGGAAGGTTGGAAACCGGGCGGTAGTTCTTGAATACCTCTGCATCGAGTCCTTGTTTCTTAAGTAGTGGGCGGACTATAGCTTCTTTAAATGATGATGGTACCGATGATTCTGCCAAGGATTTGTTGATTATGTTCGTAATAATAGGAAGCAGATTGTCAATCGTTATCGTTAATCGTTAATTCCGTCCGTCTGTACGTCTGTCCGTCCGTCCGTTACGCTTTGGGGTACCCATCTCTTATCCACAACTCCTCTCATACCACTGAATGAAATTTGATGCAGCTTTCACAGAATCTTTATTACATATCGCCATTGTGCACCTCCTATTTTACTTTTTGATCCGACACATATTTTGGGTTTCCCGGCCACAGGAAAACATGGACTTTTTCACCAGTAACCATATGGGAGGCGGGGGTATTATTTAGTGAGCTCATCGCTCACAGTGCCTCTAGTTTTCCCTGTAATTTATTTTGAGAATGTGACTTGACTCTACAGGTAGACTGTCTGGAGGTATATCTTCTCTGACGTGTGGCTGTGGAGCATCTGTCTGTCAAATTGGTTCAGTGTCTGGAAGAACGAGTAAGACGTTTAAATTTCAATATTATAACAAAATGCCAAGTTTCTATGCTGTGACATTTTGAAAAAGATACAGTTGGATGGAAATGAATTGTTTACAAGGCTTCAGTCTCCTATTAAATTCAGGATTTTTCCTGGATAAAGGTATTTTTAAAGAAAGAAAATGATGACCCTTTATTGTGATTTTTCATAATACAATTTCCTCACTTTTCAACATTTTTACCATCAAGTTGTCGCTTTTTTCGACATTTTTCACCCGCGCATTTTTGAAAAATAAGGAAGACTGGTTAAGCAGTAAACTTCATCAATCAGAAACAGGACTGTAAGTATTGTACTTATCTATTCATCGAATTGTTATATCTTTCTTTATTTATAGTATGTGATGTAGATTTCTAACGAATATTCAAAAATTGTGTTTGTGATTCAAAACGATGTCAAGTATTTATTGTTTCATAGCTCCAAAGATGAAAAAGTTCTTGTGTAGCATATTCCAGTAGTGAAAGATACATAACAATTTTAATTTTAAAACGATGGTTAAGCAAACTTAAGCGGTTAAAAGTTTTTAATTTATTTTTATGAAGAATGATATTTGGAAAAATAATTGTTTTTTCAATCACCTTTCAAGAGGTTTAGTACAATTCACGGTAGCTCTGTCGCGATCGGTTAAGCGCTCACTCTGTGATCGTGAGGTTGTGAGTTCGTATCTCGGCCGCGACTGGCCTAAGCTGAAAAAAAATGAGTAACAACTGTTCCTTCGCCTAATGAGACCTTAAAACAGAGACTCCGTGTCGCAGCATGCAGACGTTGGCATGATAAAGATCACTCACTGCTTAATAGCCCGATGTGCCGAGTAAAGGCAAACTTTTGAAGCCATGGTGATGTCTCTATGTGAGTGAAAAAAAAATCTCGAATGGGGCATGAAACGATATATACATGAGAGCAATGAATCAATAGGTTTATTAAATGCCCTTAACTTAAAGAACCCTGTATCAGATTTGAATGCATGGTATCTTTCATTTTAAAAATTATAAAAAAAATTAAAGTTTCTGATATTTTTTTAGGAAGTCTCTAGGCCTAGCTCAGCATTGATTAGATAGAATGTTCTATCGTTAAAATGATATTGTCCTACGGACCCGGTTTAACGATAGAATTCGTTCCGTGTATTCGTAATGTAGCAGAAAGAAACACGGGCGATAACTCGCATAGTGCATTTACTAGGAACAATCTAGAGAGTTCCGAATGTAAACATGGAGGTAATTTGAATCGAGAGAAAAACGTTGAGAAAATGAATTGGATTTTCGTATTTATTTGGATTATTTTCTTGGGATAAAAGGCATAAGCAATCTCAAAAAGGTTTGTTATGATTAATTTGCAAGTTATTTTCAGTGCAAATCCGTTTGTATCATTCAAAATCGTTTCGGTGCGATTCTGCAATTTTTTGCTACATTACGAGTATATGGGTGGTATTCTAACTGTGGTGAGGGCTTGTACCGAGACACAGTTAGATTATTCTAACTAAGCATTGATAAAAAGGTGTGAATGAAGCGTGTTTGCTGGACTTTTGAGCTCTAACATCGTTCGTTATCTCCACATATTACATTTGGAAGAGAATACTCCTTCACCACTGTTAATATTTAGTGAAGAGTAAAGATATAAGCTTGGTAGAACATTTTCCAAAACCCGCTATGTATCTTTGTTTTAAGGATTTTTATGACGTTTTGGAATCCAGTATAGATATGGTAATTCAAATTCATTCTGGATGCATGTTTACTTACATGTTGAAGAGACTTTTAGCACTTAGAAGTTTTTTGTGGTAAAAAATCTTGTTCATGAAATAGAAGTTACGGGTCCCACAATATGTTAAACTAGTTTATCCTGCTGTTGTTTTATATATTATGGTCTCACTTGTTTTAGTAATTAAGACACGGTTCTCATTGTACACAAGATATGGAATATATGGAGATAACAAATAGTTTTTATGTTCAAAAGTCCATAAAAACAATATAAAATAGGAGCAGAGCAAACACGGACCTCCAATACATCATAGGTGGGATCAGTTGCCATGGAGGAGTGAGAAATTAGAATTAATACACACGTAGACATTTGTAAACAAAATAAATATATGTATGAACGAGTTTGCCCCAAAAAAATAAATCCGAAGAAGTAAGAAAACTTTCATTTGACATCTACCAATTTAAAAATTTGCAGTAAAAATTTCGTAGTTTATTTCTCAAATTAGGAAATAGATTTTCTAAAGTCTACAGATTTCTTAAACACACTTTTTGTTCAATATTTGTGTTTTACTTTTTTTTTTAAATTTAAAATGAGGTTTTAGCAATATCATTAAATATATTTAATAGATGAACTCTGCAGTGTTATATTGCTAAGACCATAAAGCCATGTACCCTTTTTTGTCAATTAAGTCGCAGAATGGAAAAGCTCATGTGATAATATATATAAAATGACACTACTTATCACTATACTTAGTAGCACATTTAGATGCTTTTGCAAGGAAGTGAAGATTATTTTCATTTCCCTTTTTTTTTTTTTATATTTCTATCAAATCGTAAAGCTAAATTTTATTCACAGTACTTATATCCTTCTTGAGTATTGCAAGTGCCTAATTACTGACCCTTTTTTGGATAGCAAGCAATCAGGAAGCAAAAAGAAAACATTATTTAGACATACACAAAAAGGTTAAAAGATGGGTTACTCGTCAAAATGTTTTCATTGTATTGTTTTCCTGATTTCATTTACTGTATTATTCGAAGTGACATTCACAAGTTAAATTAAGAATATGAGCATTTATTATGAAGCATTTGTGTGTTTAAAACTGATTTGGATGATACATCTTAACACAATAAGTTTTTCTTAACTATAATTGATATGGAGCATTTGGTATTAAGTCTTGTTATTATATGAAAAACCTGTACCTGGCTTTTATGAATCCCAGTTGATTTCACTCTAAAAAAAGTTTTACTTAGTAATTTATATTTACTTAAATTTGTGTATGTAAGTAATAACACATTACTTGGTTTTTACTTACAGTTTACCACTAATTACTAGCTATTACTAAAATATTTTCAAATTGCTATATCTAATTGTTTTACTTAAAACAATAAATTATTTACTGCGTCAAGGAGGATTCAGAGCAGCTGCAGAACAAATTACTTAAATCTGGTAGTCTAATCACTATATATATATACTATAATAAAAAAAGAATAAAGATATCAGAATTTTATTTTGATTCCTATATTTAACTTATATCATTTTGCCCCCGTAAACGAAGTTTCGGGGATATATAGTTTTTGTCTGGTCCATCTGTCTGTCTCTCTGTCTGTCTGTTTCTCTGTTTGTCCGCAAAAACTTTAACCTTGCCCGTAACTTTTGATTTAGCGGAGCTATGACTTGCATATTTCACATGTCCTTTCCATTTGACAAGACCTATCTTTGAGTATCGCCAAATTTGACCTTGACCTTGGAGTTTGACCCACTTCTACAAATCCGAACTTTTTCTTTAGCCATATCTTTTTAACAGTAAATACCAGGACATTAATACTTCACATAGATACTCTTTGTTGAAAGACCTTTCATTGGATACCAAGAACCATGACCATTTGATCTTGACCTTGGAGATTTCAATCCTTGTGAAAAAACTTTAACCTTGGCCATTACTTTTGAACGATAAGGGATAGGGCTTTCATATTTACATATATGTAATTCCTGTGAGAAGACCATTCATTAGATACCAAGAACTTTGACCCTTTGACATTGACCTTGGAGTTTGACCCACTTTTAAAAAGAAAACCTTGACTCAACTTTACAAAGGTTGGGGTTAGTGCATTCATACTTTACATATTTCATCCGTGTGACAAGACCTTTCTTTAGATACCATCAAATCTGACCCTTTGTCCTTGACCTTGGCGTTTGATCTACATTTCAAAGTTGGTAAACTTGACCATACCTTCTGAAGGGTTGGGGCTAGTGCTTTCATATTTCAGATATGTATTTTTTGTGGCAGGACCTTTCATTATATACCAATAACATTGACCATTTGACTTTGACCTTTGAGATATCAAGAAATACCAATATATTGAATCTGCATATAAGAAAAGTTAAACCTTTGCTATGTTGTCATATGGGGGGGGGGGGGCATTAATAAGTGTTTCACAAACACATTTCGTTTAAATTGTATTCAATTGATTTACTTTAAACGATAATTTATTTACTGAATCAAGGAGAATTCAGAGCAGTTTCAATACAAATAATTACTTAAAAATGGTAGTTTAATTACTATCAGGATTGAATTCCTAAATTGTCATATTAATTGTCTGTGAGGAGGAGTTATCTTTCTTCTAAATATTCCTTCATGTAAAAAAAAAAGTTATACTTATTAAAATGTGTTATTAAGTACTTGAAACTTTAAACCTTTTTTAAAATGGTCCTTAAAAATATACAAATTATTCGATTTAGAAGGCTTTTGATGTTGGAATTAAATGTTTTATTGCTGAATATAATAAAACAATTAGAAAGAAATAATGTCGATTTTAGTAAATATGATAAGTATTCCATTTACTTAGTATTCTCCTAAGCAATATTATTCCAGATTTTGATTAATTTCAAAATTACATTTACTTAGTAAATTACTAAGTAAATGAAATTCTGAAATAAAATAATTCATAAAACCTAGTTAATAGAAAGCATGTTATCTCTAAATTAAGTAATAATGATGATTTTCTAAAAATGAGTACTTCATTTACTAAGTAATATAATTCCTATTAAGTATTGATACTTAGTAAATCATTTTATAAGTAAATTAATTCATCCTTATTACTAATTATGTTTACAATTACTAACAATGATAGTCATTTACTTGCTATTCTGACTAAATGAATTACTAATAATTACTAGTTTTTCTTAATCTAATATCTTATTTTAAAAGCAACAAGTAAAACTTTTTTTAGAGTGTTGATAAACATAATATTCTGAGAGGTCGGGGGATTCTTACTCCTCTTACGCATCTGATCCCACATTTGATGTTTTCTATGGCTTGTGTTTTTATTTTTTCATCATAGGATTTTAAAATTGATATTTTCGTTCAAATCTATCTTTCACAAAACTGTATACATATGTTTTAGTTCATATCCCTTGGGGGAAAAATCATACTGAGTTCTGAGATGTTTATTTTGCATTGAAGCCTAAGAATTTATTTATCACAAATAGTGAAAATACTTCAATTCTTCATAAACCTACTAGTTCATCGAAAGACGCGGTTAAAAAATCACGTACGGAGCGGGGTAAATAGAGACAGCAGCGGGGCTTGTACCACGTGAAATTGCGGAACCAAGAGCATTCAAATATGAGGAATATCTGTCAGATTGTTTTGGTTTCATGACGATGATCACTCGATTGATCACATTATGAAACCAAAAAAATTAGGCAGTTAATCCTCAATTAAAGCTTCAGGATAAACGTGACGACTTTAACTTTTCAATCGTCAACTTCCCTTCCCTTACTTATGTAACAATATACCCTTACCACCTGCAAATGTGATCCATGTCTTTTTAGTGATTGGAAACTCAAGTGCATGCTTTAATCACGAACAATTTCTAAAATAGATTAAGTTTTTGCCAAACAAGTTAATAAAACAAGAATTGAATTCTATATTTATCAAAGAGTTTTCCTTATTGGATAATGTAACAGCGTCGATAGATGGACAGTAACACTAAATGCTGCAATTATCCGACACTTAATTGTTTTGCTTGAGTGTTTAAATCGAGGGTTGTTTGAGAGAACAATCAGGAAGACGATTGGAGAAATTCTGACATATGTTTGGAGGAAAGCAAGTAGCCGAAAAAATATGTATATCATCTATAGTACATCATCGAAATTCGCTAACCATTTTTGAAAGTGAAAAGTGATAAATTCGAAAGATGTGGTGGAATAATTATTTCGTGTTTTATTTATTTTATATTCTAAATGTTGTCGGCGGTAAGTAAATAACATCACTGCTAATATGTTCACACAAAAAATGCGCTGTCTTGTTTCATTTAAATTCCGTCGTTTTAGAGCCCATGGTGTTTGAACTTTTTCAGCCTTCCTTAAATATATGGCAATATTACGCTATCATTAACGTTTGGTTTTTATTTTTGGTAAACATTCGTACTCAAAAGCAGCCTCTAAGTACAATCACTTTCTTTACCCAGGCAGACTTCTAAATAATTAGTTGATGTTTCAGGGAAATCCACAACGTCGTTTATAGCCAGCATTTCGTAAATTCCATGGTTGTAATAATGACTTTAATATTGAATTTTTGTAAGAATCGATAACTTTAACAGTGGATAACTTATTAGGCTTTCATTAAAACCTATACTGTATAGGGGTCCTGAATAAATAGTCTTTAAGAAAAGCTTAAGTTAAAGTGGCAGTAAGTATTATGTTAGGGGCAGTAACATGACTTAAAGGCATGCAATCAACACACAAAAAAAGTTGGATCAAACTAAAATGACTTAAGGAGGCTGGGGGTTGACCGTTCAACAGAGTAACCACCAGATTTCAATTAATTTTTTTTTTTATATAATTTCTTAATTAAGCTGTCAACTATCATACATTCTTCTTTTAAAATTGGATCATTTTTGTATATTTTTATATAGAGCTCTTCTGCTAAAGGAGGTCAAAATAGTGTGAAAATGGCCACAGCCCCCAACCCGTTTAAAATGCCTCATTTGACAGGGTTTTATCTTCTTTCAATATCATTTTTTCAAAGAAATCAAATAAAAAGAAAAAAAAAAACATTCTGGAAGGACAAAATTGCAAGTGTTGGTCAGCGCTTGAAAGGGGGAGGGGGTATCGTAGTAGGATGCCTTTCGTTCCCTACCTAGACAATGTTAAATAAACTTTTAAATAACCAGTTATTATCATAAATTAACTGCGTCTAGTTTTGAAATAACTTGGCAAACAAATGGAATACACTAAGATACATAATTCTTTATAGCAGTTTTCGATTTCAATGAACAATTTTGCTATGGCTACTATTTATAGAATTCTGTGAAAAACTTTAAAAATGCTTCTCCTCTCACAGTTTTGTTAGGTTTTAGTATAATTTTGCATACTAGTTAACGAAGGAGACTACATCGAGGATCATTATTTTATTTATTGCTGTTGCAAAGTTTCATGCACAAATGTAACTTTTCCCTTTCTTTGTGATAAGTACAAACCAGTATAGCTACAGTATCGACTGGTTCTTAATACAATGACTAATATTACTTTCCCCCCTAAACTATCCCTCTGCTTTCCGTAAATTGTGGAAGTCAATTTTCCTTGCTTTATAATAAAAGTAGAGACAATCAAGCAGCACTTTCAAATTTTATCATTTTTTTTTCTTTTACTGAAAAAAGATTCCATTGCTGTTTCCTTTCACTGTGACAGAGGATGGGACAAATTCGAAGATAAATGCTACAGACTGTTTCCTGGATCCAGAAATTGGCATCAAGCTCGTGATGGTTGTACAGCGCATGGATCGACACTTCCAGTAGTGTCAAATAGAAGAATCCAAAGATTCATCATCAAACAGTGTAATTATATAACTAATTTATTTATCTTTTATTACATTTATTTATCTACATTATGTATTTAATCATAGAAATCAAATTACATGTATGTTGTAAAAATAGTTAATATAGATTTTAAAAACATATATATATATATATATTGGCTATTTAAAACTTATTCTTAAAAAAACACGGAACTATACATTTTGATAATCGGAGACAGGCTACAAACACATTGATGTCTAAACACTAATTTATTCACATATTTGAAATGTCTATGTTTGTCAAATATATTCCTATTTGCCATAAGCTGTATAAATACGAGGGTTGTTCTGAAAATTCGTGGAATTTTGTCATATCCTTTTTATTTAGCAAACAACACACTAAATAATTCTGTAGTCATATTCTCTGCACAATGGAGCGAAAAAATCCTAAACGTTTAAATTAAAAACGGCTATATTGATTCACATTTCAAATTATGGCTTAATATTTTGCTTTAATAAAAAAAATCAATTTGAGAAGATTTGTCATTTTCATTGAAAACGACAAAAAAGATGACGTTGTATAACGTCGATGAGCAGTAGAAGGGTATCGTTTGGCTCTATTTGTTGTTATGAGCCAAAATGATTCTGGCTAGGGATTATAGCTAGTAACTGTTTTCTCCGATATATATTAAATTATTTAACCATAATGAAAGAAGTGAAATTTTTACCTTATTAGAAATCTCTCTTTATCAGTGATCAAGAAATTCGTAAAGGTTGTAGACTCGATTGATAAGTTTACTACCCCTTCTAATGTTACTGATATTTAACAAAATGTTTGTAACTGATTTATTTTGATATAAATTCTTAGACGGGCATCTGCTTGGTTCACACGGCGTGTATTTGTCTGGAAATGATATTAAACGGGAGGGCAGTTGGGAATGGTTGGATGAGGACGAACCATTTTCTTTTCACACCTGGTATAAAGGTAAGATGTGTCACATGTGTATCATTATGTGTTCATCATATATTTTATGAAATGATTCTTAAATTTAAATTTGACATATTTCACAGTGTGTTAAATTTTCAAAGTAATCAAAAATTGTTTTTAGGAGAACCTAACAATGATAATGGAGACGGTGATTGTTTACATATTTGGAAAACTCACGGATATCAGTGGAACGATGTCGCTTGTAATTACCCTATCTCAAACTTTTTGTGCTCTAAACCAGGTATTATTACATTTTTTGAACAATATTACCACAATTTGTTTACTTTAACTCTATGATTTATAATGACAATTATCTCTAGATGTATTTTATGGTTTATAATTTAGAATATATATTAAAAAAAATATTTAAACTTTCTTATGAATGTATGTAAGTATGTATATAATTCAGGAAGGAGAATTCAAGCAACTTTGTCGACATCTTGTGGTTGCATGAATGGAAACCAAATTTTTTGCAAAATTGGAGACATATCACATACGAGGAGTAAGTAAATAAACAAAAAAAATCTCACATGCA